GCACTTTAACCTCATAGTCATTGTTCCATTTTAAATCCAATACAGTCTCTGTACATCCGTGTGCAGAGATAACAAGAAATGTCGCCGTCTTTATATTTACTGACACAGAGTGTCCTGTATAAAGCAGAGTCACAAATTATTAGGGCAGTGATACTTATTTTGAATGTTAGCCCTGTCTTCCAGCACAGCATATGAAATATTTACTTAGAGGTTAAAGTGCTGACTGTCAACTTTAATTTAAGTATGTTTACATTTACATCAAATGAACCGTATAGAAATAGTAGCTATATTTATCCATAGTCCCCTATTGTCAGCGGGTATAAAGTAATCCGACAACTTCACATAAACTTGCATCTATATGTTTATGTCCGTGTTTGCATTTGTTAAGGTTTTACACACTTCTGCCTTTCTCTATTTATCCTACAAAAAAATACAGCTGTCTCAAGCTGATACGCAGACACATTGTAATACATCCTGCTCCATATCTTGACTAACCAGACGCAATAAAATGAACTGTCTATCACACTGAATATAAGCTAGAGGCAAATGTTGGGTGGAATGCAATACGCACATTGATTTTTTTGTTAAGGCACACCTTTAGTTCGTTTGTCAGGGAGTAACAGTAAAATCACCATGACTGGCAGCCCAGTCCAGAGGGGACAGATTGGTCTCCACAGAGCTGCAGCGACTGAGTGGTCTTGTGGTCTCTTGCTATCATGTAGGAAATATGTCTTTGAAGTAGCCAAGAATGTGTGTTTGGCAGCAATAAATAGACATTGCTAAACTGAGTTCCTGTCTTTCAGATGTAACAAAATGCACCAAAAATGGAGAAGGTTGAAGATAAGAGAACAAAATAGGTTTGATGGTTTTCTAATCTCTGCTTTGTTTGTTCACCAGTCCAAGTGCCGGGCCCTGCTCCTAACCTGCAGGCAGTGTCGAACATGCCAACCTCGGTCTCTCTGAGTTGGGACAAACCCGTCACTGGCAACGGAGAGATCCTCACCTACAAGTTGTACTACACAGACAAAGGCATTGGCACTGAACAGGTAGGAGGCAGCAGACAATATGACGTCACCTTGAATTTATGATATCCAAAGAGGTTTTGGTGTCAGTCGCTCCAGAATGAAATGCTTTTTTAGTTTTAGCTTTCATTGTACATCACCTTTTGAAGTGAAGTTTCACACAGAACAACAGGTAATAAAAAGCTTGATGTAAAAACACATTAAGAATTCATTATTCAAAAATGAAATAAACAAATAAATCGATTAAAATCTGGATATGCTTTCAGATGAATGTACATTTTTATTAAAAGAAGAGTCTTAACATTTCCTGCATTTTAATGTTTCCTTGTGTGTTTTTCCTTTTTATTGATTTATTATTTAAGGCACTAGAAATGAATTATTCTACAACTAGTTCTATCCAGACTTTGTAAGAGGAGAAGTACTGTATGTAGCTCATGCTTTATATTTTGCAGAGTTAGATACAGTAAAGAGAATATGAGTGTATAGTTGAATGTAAATTGTGATAAGCTAAGGAGTTCCTAATAATTTGCCAAAGACTTGTTGTACTGCTTTGTGGCTGTTTTCACACTCTTTCTTGATTGCGCATCTCACATGTTGTGCAAAATGAAAGCAGACATGATTCACCCAGTTCTCTGCAGGTCTAACTCTGTCACAAGAGTGGAATCTAGCTGGTTAGATATTGAGTCAGCCCCAGCAGTAGCAGTGCGTAAGCCAGTGAGGCATTAAAAAGCCTTTAATATGATAATGGATGAAACGTCAGCCAGTGCACTGAGTAATGATGCCTCAGCTCCCGGGAGAGGAGAGCCAGAGATGAGGTGAAGAAGGCAAGAGATGAAGAGAGGGATGAAAAGAAGGAAAGAAGAGGTGAAGGCAATGGACAGAACAGAGATGAAGTTAGAAAGATACAGTGTTGAAAGGACATGAGATATTAAAGGGCAGAGAAGTCAGTGACAACCTTTGATGCATCTTTAAGGGTGACGTGGTGACAGCCGATCATCTGACCCGGGTTCAGAGGGTGTGATTGGACCGCTCAGGAAGCAAGATTAGATTTCTGCGAAGTCTCTGCTTTTTACTCAAAATGTCAGAAGCTAAGAGCTGAATGCAAATTGGCTTGGAGTAATTGGGCGTGTGCCAGTGTGCCCAATTTGTAAAGCAAAAAGTCGTAATCACAGAAAGCATAATTTGTGTCTCAGTGGAAAATGACATTTTCTTACTCAGAATTACAAATAGAAATGTTAGTCTGATGAAATGATGACAGCAGCTTTGCCATATTTGAGAGATTGCTTTACACCATCTTTAAGCCAGTATTAAAGTTGAACGCTAAAAACAGTAATATTTTTGCATTTATCAACATGCTGTCAGTAGTGAAATACTCAGATGAATGTATGTGTTATTTTAAAGGTAATCCACTGGTTTTATATTTATTTAATTTTAACCTTGTATTTACATGTTGAATTGTGACCAAGCATATTTTCCAGTTCAGAAGAAAAGAAAAGAAGGAATATCTTTTAGGGGTGTAAGAAAATATTGAAAAATGTCACATCGCGATATTTTATTTGGTGATATTGTATTGAATCACAAAAAGGCTAAATAGTAGTATTGCAAACTGAGGACTATGATGTGGGATTTACCAGAAACTGTAATTAATACAAAAAAGCAACATATCACCCTTACTTATAGTATTACAATATATCACAATAAATCGAATTGTAAGCCCTGTGTCGTGATACATATGGTATCACCAGATTCTTGCCCTAATACACAGCCCTAACTGTTTTTTATATCTAAATATTATGTATCTAAATATATTATATTATATTATATTGTAGTTTTAGTTTTTAAAGGAACTGAGATGCAACTCTCTTCTTCCCTCCCTTTCTTTCAGGACGTTGACGTCGACAGTCAGTCGTATACCATGACCGGGCTGAAGAAGAACACAGAGTACAGTTTCCGTGTGGTGGCCAACAACAAGCACGGTCCAGGTGTCTCCACTGAGGACGTTGTAGTTCGCACTCTGTCTGACGGTCAGTTGTTTGATGAAGAGAAAATCTACCAACGATGCTGAATCCTTAATTCATTTTAACTTCACTGTATGTGTGTAAAATGTTACGGATGGATATAAAATAGAGTCATCTACAGTGTGCTTTTATTATAGATCCAGCAAGGCCCTTTTTTTGTTGTTGTTTTTTTACTTTGGGACTAGCCCAAGGTGACGATATCAAATAGCTGCTCCAAATCTTAAAATATTCACTTTACATAAAGCAAAGAAAAGCAGCAAATACTTATAATTTAGAAGCTGGAACCAGGACATGGCCCGCATTTTTCTTCTGTCAATCAACAGATTGATTAATCAGCTAATCGCTTCAGTTCTGCAGTAAATCCTTTTTTTTTTCTGTTTTATACTTAATTAAATTAAATTTTTCTTTACAGTACCGAGTGCTCCCCCTCAAAACCTCACCCTGGAGGCCCAGAACTCAAAGGTAAGACTTTGTTGCTTTGAACTCAACTGGACCTGTAACTGGTCTGGATTATTGACTTGTCTAATTGAGGGATTAAAAGCTTTCACATTTTTTGCACTCACTTTCTCAGATGATGCAGCATACATACAGACAAACAGCCTGCAGCCTCACTGTTCAGTTCACAGTGTATGTAGCCTCTTCACCAAATCCACAAACACTCACAGCACAGAAATGCTTGAACGAATATACATAGCCTGCAGTCCAGAACACCTTTGTTTCTCTGTGTGATTAGCTGTGTCAGGGGCCCGTAGCCCCAGCTGTTTAAGAGGGTGCGTGAACCCTCATCGATCCTCTCATCGGCAGGAGACTTGCCTCTCAAAAGGTTTTTTCCTCAGTATCACTCTCCATCTGTACAGTGTCTGGCAAAAAAGCCTGCAGGTCAGATATGCAAGGATACAAAAAAATATGAGCCTGGAAGATGCAGGCACACTAGAAATAATCCTCAAGAAAGTAAAATAACGGTCAAAGTATCCAAGGACCGATTGGTTTGGTGATTTACAGATCTAAAGGAGTTTAGACAACTTTTACATTTCCATATTTCAACATGTAGGTTTTGAAACACTAAAACACATTTAAGAAAATGTTCGCTTTTCAAACAAATTAGCCCACGATTCCAAAGATGTCTTTTGACTGGTGAAATAAATGCTTATTGGGACATTATATGCAAAGCTACCCTGCTAACAGCCATTTCACCCTGTTGGTTTTTTTTAGGTGACAGGATAAATAGAATAAATTCACAATAGACTTAAGTGTTTGAAAGTGGGATTTCTTTTATCTAGATTGCATTTCTCTTCAGAGATAACTGGATCAAACTTCTCACAGTCCAGGCGACAACTCCTGATGTCTCACAGTCTTTTTAAGTGTCATTGTTAAATCAGATTTATTACAGATACTGTGGTGGTTTGCGTGACACTCTTGATTAGATCAGGCTGCTAAGGTGGCTGCAGGCTTCGCAACAGGGTCCTGATTAAAACAGGAAACTGGCCTTAGCTGTCTATCTGTTTAGCCATTTGATCTTCAAACAGAGAGCTGTAGGCATGTTTATTGTACATTTCCACCCGAGTGATGGATTAAATTTGATAAAAGATGTTTCTCACTCGTGACACGTGAGACAGCAAGTGCAAACAGAGAACGGCAAAGAGAAGAAGATACGGAAAACCTCAGGGTGTGTGCATTGACTACAAAAGCAGCAGCCAGCGCTTTTAGCCCTTTGCTGGTCGATGCAGAGCCCGAGTGAGAGAGAACTGTCAAAGCAAACTAGGAAAAAAAACGGGTAGACAATCCTATCACACACTCCCAGCTTGAGTGAGAACTGGCCACCCATGCTGAGGGATACTCAGCTGAGATTTGTGGAGAGAAAACACTCTCATGCTAATGTTAAGAGTGAAATGAAGAGGGGACACTCTGTGGAAAGGACAGAAATTGTAGCAGAATTGTTTTTGAATGGATAGTGGTACATCCAGCTGTCCCTCCCCAATTAGGCCCAGACAAGCCAATTTGAAATAGTGGAACAAACATCTGGCATCCTTTATTCCTAAACATATTGAAATTAGTCAATTATTTTTTTCTTTGTTGTCATTGTGCTTAATTCTGAATATGAACAGTCATTAAGTCAATAATTCTGGTACAAGTATATAGATACAAAGCATTTATGCAATTAGCTGGTTGATACGCCCAACCAAATGGAACTGGGGAAAAAATACCTAATTAACATGCATTTCATATTCAGTCTTGTCTTTGGGCCTTGTCAAGCAGAACCTTGCATCTTTTACCTGCAAGGCAACCTGAAAATCATATTTTTATGATCTTATTTTGCACCTTTTTTATTCCTTTTGGCATCTGCCATCTCACCTTCCCCTGCGATTTTCCAAAAGTCAATTAAACAGGTTTTCATGATTAGGGAGAAGAAGGGAGAAAAGCAACACGCATAACGAGTCAGGACCGATAGTGTAATAAGAAAAATGGAATAATTGAACACACTTAACACAAATTTAATTTGTGCAATTCCCTTGACTCGGCTGGGGAGGAGCGTGTGTGTGCCCTCGACATGTATTCAGGCTTTTGTGCATCAGTGTGACAGTGGGGAAGCGTTAATTAACTCTTCTCCCACGCTGGGCTACCCCCCACCTATCTCTTTTAAACACACAACACACAAAAACTCTGATGCATGAATCCCACAACAGTGCAGCATGGACCCGCCAGCAAAGAGTCCTGCATTCATCTCTTTGCCTCGGTGTCTCTGCAGGGTTAACCTGTCCACACCCCCACACGTGCAACCCCCGGCTCATCAGGACACCACCTTCTATAATTCATGTGTTTATTTCTTCCTAATGCGTCAATCTGCACTGCGTCGCCCATGCTCAGAGGGGTGTTTGTTCTTGCGGGGCCCTCCCATTTGCACCACTGTCAGGTTGAAGGGAGGGGCAGGCGAGACTGTTTCTGGCGAACAGAACAGTAAACCTGCAGAGTTACGTTAACACAGAGGCGTCTGCCAAGGTGTGTGGGAAGGTGTGATGCTACCTGCTAAACTATGAGGTCACCTTTACAGCTGCAGGCCCAACAGCAGATGGTCCCACATGTGCTAAGCGTAGGGTTTTCTTTTCCCCGTCTAATATCACTTTCCCCCCTCAGAGCATCATGCTTCAGTGGCAGCCCCCACCCCTTAGTGGTCAGAATGGGGAGATCACCGGCTACAAGATCCGATACCGGAAAGGATCCCGGAGGAGCGAAGCAGCCGAGACCACTGGAGGCACCCAGCTTTTCAAGCTCATCGACGGTAATGGGCACTGACTCAGCAGTTAGCTCAAGTACAATAGCCAATGTCGAAATAAAACTACAAGAATCATTTTGTGAGATTTTGTGTATTTAGTTTTTTGTTAGGCTCAGATCCCACCTACCAGCTTTGTTGTCTTCCGTTGCAGTTTCTCAGAAAGATTTTGCGATGATCCGTTGTAAGTGGGTTTGAATGTGGGGCATTTATTACTGTATGTGTAAGGTAAAGGCGAGTTATAAACCCAGTTCAGACCTACCTAGTAATTTTCATCCAGCTTGTGTCTAGATCCAGCAGAAATCGACAGCAGATCCCACTTGGCATTAAAATACATTTTAAATGCATCTCAAGTCAGCACTTGTGGTCAGATTTCAGTTCATATAACTCATATTTGGTTTTATCTGTGGGTAAACTTTGACTCCCTGTGATAGATTGCAACCTTGCATCAGATGAGCGGGTAGAGATGATGGTTTAGAGGATGGAAGCTAGACTACTGCTAAATAGAGCATAAAACCATTTATAGCTACAGAAAATGAATATTGTTACTGTTTGAGTGCTGGGTGGATTAATAGAACAAGAGACGGAGCAGAGAAATGCAGAGAAAAAGAGGGTGTTAACCAACTCTTATCTATACAGATGGTTTGGAAGCTTTTTTTTTTTTACTGTATCCTCAGTATGTCTTTGGGTGTGTTCACACTTGTGTTTTCAAGCTGTCTTCTTGGATTGCTGAGGGTGTGTTTTGAAGTGTGAACAGAGCCATCGAGATAGCGATAGCACAGTGAGTGATTTGTGACTCAAAACACAGCTTGACAACTGCGGTATTACATTCAAGTTCATAGACGGTCTCCAGGTCTACATTTCGATGTGATTGTTAAAAATATTTTTAAAATGGTGGACCCAGAAAGAAAAGTCTTTTTTTCCTTTTCTTTGTACATACAGATCAGTCCTACATTAAAACTTTTATGTTATCAGACTCCATTTTATCTCTGCTGGATGTATCTTCGATACTGTCAGCTATATCTGACATGCTGCAATATTTAAAATCTTGATTTTGAGATCTTGAGACCGAAGGCGTGTCTTGAGTTGTTGTTTGGGGTCTGTCTGATAGTTAGTCCATTTATTCAGTAAACATCTAAAATGTATCTAAATACTTTGAGATGGAGTAACATGTCTTACTGTACCCCAATGTTACCCGCTGCTACTACCAAAATATGCACAATATCACCAGAGACACACAGCAATGGTGATTAATATTAGATGTTGTCTCAGCAACTTTCAAGTGGCCCGGCCTCACGCTGTGTGCTGCATCAAAGAGAATATACACTTAAAAGTTGATTTTTGAGAACATTCTGGGGGGTGAAACAGAGGGGTGTTTGTTGGTTCAAAAGCGTTTAGAAGGAGATGTTGTAGCCTTGGAGGCACACATAGTTAGGCAGTCTTCAGAAGCTACCCCCAAGGGTAGCCCAGGATAGTGGGTACAGAGAGAAAAGACTACAGGATTAGCATGTTGCGTGCAAATGGGACAATGTGACGATGATGAAAAATGTTACCGAAAATTAATACAGCAACACATCATTTGTCAGCAGGCGTTCCCATCTTTTCTGAATACCAAAGCCGGCACCCAGCGGTGAAACTGCTCTTTCTGAAGGAGATATAGCTTTAAAATATGAACGAATCCACACTCCGAAAGTTCTCCCCTTTTTCAGGGTTCATAATTCTTGTGCCAGCTGCTTTTACACACTTTTTCTTTTCAACGCTTCTTAACAGAAAATAAATCTTTACCCACCAAAAACATATTAATTAAAGGTGAGAAATAAATCTCAATCACTTCCATGATATTGAGTGGAAAAGAGGGTTAATTGCGCCACAGAAACCTTCACTTGATCCGTCCCTAGGCAAGCTTATAGACTTTCTCCTTTTGTGCAGGGAAGTATCGGGCATCTGTTTAAGATATTTGTGCTTTCAAAGTATTTATCGTCTGCAACTCAAAGCCCAATTGTCCAGCCAACTGGAGAGCACCAGTAAATTTTAAACTGAAGGTTTTAGAAAGAGAGAGAAGTTTTAATGGAATAGTTTCTATTGCAGCTTGAGATTCATTTCAGCCACAGCTCAGTTTAAATATCCGTGCTTTGAATCTGACCTTTTTGTGTTGCCTGTCCAGGTCTGGAGCGTGGAACAGAGTACGCCTTCCGGGTGTCGGCCACGACGGTGAACGGCACGGGACCGGCTACCGAGTGGACCACAGCGGAGACATTTGAGAGCGACTTGGATGGTAAAAAAACATCTGTTTTACTCAATTCATACAGACTAAACCAAAACTAGTCAGTTGCTTTTATGATGCATTTAATTGACTGATTGTTTAACTGAAGATCTCTGCTGAACTTTTTCCTTCATTTCCCTCACCAGAATCACGTGTGCCAGACCAGCCCAGCTCCCTCCACGTCCGACCCCTGGTCAACAGCATCGTGGTGAGCTGGACGCCGCCAGAGAACCAGGACATTGTGGTGCGCGGTTACACCATCGGCTATGGCATCGGCAGTCCCCATGCTCAGACTATCAAAGTGGACTACAAGCAGCGCTACTACACCATCGAGAACCTTGGTAAGAACCTTACCTTCTGTATTGATACATGTATATCATGATGTTTCCTTCTGTTTGTAATGCTTCTGTTTTTACTGAGATATTAATCTGATGGCTCATATTATTTGTCACCCACATAATTGCACAATTGCATTGAAGAATCTCAGCTGATTTTTCAAATACCCCCTGATATTGATGAGACCATGAGGATGAATTTGCCTAAAATGGCGGCATTTAAAGGTCCAGTGTGTAGGATTTAGTGGCATCTAGCAGTGGAGGTGCAACTCCCTTGCTTTGCCCTCCCCTTCTAAGTGTGAAGAACAGCCCTGTCTAGAGCTAGTGTTCGGTTTGTCCCTTCTGGCCTACTGTAGAAACACATACTGTAGAAACTGGCGGCGTCTATAGATATAAACGTCTTATTCTAAGGTAATGAGGTAATGAAGGTGATTATACAGTAATGGAAACATACCGGTGAATATTATATTCCATATAGATAATAGATCCTCCTAAATGTTACGCACTGGACCTTTTAAAACATTTCAGTGATTATCCTTCTTAAAAATATAACTGTGGTATATCTGACACTGAAACTATTCTTAAATTTGAAAAAAAATCCCAACATTTTAAGGAGTAAACACACACAAACAATATGAAGCAGTTCAACTGTAACTCATAGTGAGCATTTAGAGCATTAATGAGCTCTTCTCCGACACACGCCTGAGCCGCTAATTAAACGGATTACCCTAATGGGGACACAATAATTAAAGGTCAAAAATGCTTAAATAAAACAAACTTGTTTTTGTTGATTTTAATTCTTGCCGTCATTAAAGCAAAAATGAACACCAACATAAAGTTAACCTCTCACAAATGTTTCGGTGATTGCCAATCAGTCCAGCCTTTGAGAAAATTGCAAGTATTATCAATTGTGTGATTTTGGGGGAGTTAGATTAAACCATTTCTTAATAAAACGCAAGAAAGCACTGTTGTGATGATGCTCTTGTGTCAGTATACCGGGATTGTGTTGAAAAGCAAGACACACAATTACTAATTAATTATTTAGTTCCACAGGAAAAGGATTTGTTGTCCTTCTGTATCTATTACGTAGGTCATATTCTTTTGGGTGGTTTTTATTCAGTGGAATTGAATCACGCATGCCAATAAGTTTACGAAATCGTAAACCTCAGGAAAGGTTTAAATGGATGATGGAGTTAAAAAATAAGTCTTCATAAATCGGAGATGGTCTGAGGGAGGAATGGTTCCAAAATATCTATTTATGCATAATTGAAGCCTTCATTACAATCACAGTAAGAGGAATGATTGTATTCAAATACTCATTCTAGCTAATATCACAATTATGAGGCGAGACTCTCGAGAGTTTTTGGGCTTGATTAGATGGCTGCATCATTTTATCTCGCTCGTCCTGTCTCTCTCTCTCTCGTCTCTTCTCTCTCGCTCCTCCCTCTCTCAGACCCCAGCTCTCACTATGTGATCACACTGAAGGCCTTTAACAATGTGGGTGAGGGGATTCCTGTGTATGAGAGCGCCATCACCAGACCACAGTCAGGTATGAACTACACGCATCAAGATCTACATATAAATCTACTCCCTGCTTGCCTTAAAACAGGACATTTCTTGGATACACAAAGTAAGAATTCAATAGTTTATATATAGTTTGTACTGTTTGTCTGTGGTAGAAACTTAAATCATTTAGCTCATATACAACAGATATTGTAGACAGTATTATAGGACCTACTCACATTGGAGGGATGTAGTCACTAAGTCCAAAAAAAAGAAAAAAAAGAATGACATTTATCTTTGCTCTCTCTAACCTGAGATCATTACCAGCCAAAATGTGTCTGGACTCGGGGGTCCAGACATGGGTATCTAATTAACTCCCTTCATAATGGTCCCCAGTACATTTGAGTCTCTTTTTAATCAAATGTTCAAGCCATTAGATTTTGCCCTGAGATTACCAGTTTTCCCAATATTAAGATTTCAGTAGCAATGGGTATTTTTTGAGGAAAATAAACTGTATCTACACACATGATTATTCTTTTAAATCAATACTTGCTTTAAAAATCCAGCATCAGTCGGACTATCACCTGTGATCCATTTATCGTTAAATATCTGCGTGCTTTACAATGAAGCAAATTTAGTTGCATCAGCCAAACAGTATGTACAATCCAGTGTAATTGTCAGCCAGACGATCAATAATTCTTTAAGCCTCGGATCACAACCCCGTTAACAATTAGAAGTAGAACTTAAGTCCCAACACAGTGTGCTAGACAAATGATCTTAAAGTGTGAAAGGCTGCCAGTTAGACTGCAAGTCAGCTGAGTTCACACAGTTTATGTGACAGTGTCAGAAGACAGCCAGCCCATGCTCCCTGGGGTGTCTCAGAATGTGGGCTGCACCCGCCTCCTCTTCCATCCAGCCTCCCACCTCCCCGCTCAGCCTTGATCACTCCGGTTTGTCTCTGCCGCAGCGCTATTGCACAGCTGAGCAGGAGAGGGGTGGGATGCTGGATGACGAGTCACGTCAACATGCATCGAGGGGGGGTGGCAGTTTAAGTGTCTGCACACACCCGCACACTGTCATACTGTACACTTCTCTCTATGAAGATCTTGCTCCTTCATATCCTCGCACACATACACGCAGCGCTGCACACACGCAGACCCCCCGTGGTGGCTTTGGCAACCCTACGTCAGATCCAAACGTTTCCTCTCAAAGCAGAACCAAAGCCCACCACCATCGTCTGCTGCTGAATCCTTAGGGGCGCGTTCCGTTCCTGCCAGTTTGTTCAAGTCGGGATTAAAAAGACAAGCTGACCTACATAGTACTTTTACTTTTGGAAGAAACTGAGGAAAAACTTGGTGAACTTGCTGCTGAGAGTGTGCTAGGTTGAATATGTTATAATAATATGACGTCTTAACTGAAAAGCAGGAATGAGAGATTGCACCCTCATCTGCTTAAAAAAACAACAACCTTACAAGGGCAAGTCAGCCTCTTTCCTGCAGTGTATTCTACCAACACTGGAGACTGTATTCTTCCAAGCTGGGTAAAGAAATGCAGCTTGCATGCCACTCCAAAAACCACAGTGCCTCTCCACAGCCACATGAATGCTTGGATCTTCATCATGCACACAAACACACACACTGACTCAGTCTCAGTCAGAATATAATGAGGGCAGCTCTGCACAAAGAGGTGTCAAATGGAGTGAAGCGGCGAGGAGAAGACCAACAAGTGGTCGAGGGGGAGTGTCATCAAGGGTGACTGACCAAAGCTTTTTTCTTCCGTCTCAACTAAACCAAAAGGAGAGAAAGTAGTGACCAGAAGGCCATCTTGAAGTGTTTACCCTTCAGTATGTTGGCCAGAAGCTGCTTTTTTGAGCCCCTCTTTTCCTTCCATAGACACACAAACACACTCATACTCACTGGGCTTTAGGCAGGTACCTTACACACAAACACACTCAAGTGCTCTTCGTGCAAACACACATACACACTCTTACATAAACATATAATTAAACAACGTGTTGTTATGTAACTTACTAAATACCATTTATCTTATCCAAGTGCTGGACTGCGCTTTAAATGGTATCCTTAAAGGTCACTACCACTACATTTTAAAATTGAATAGAGTACTTAGTTGTTGAATAGATAAATATGATGATATATGCAGGGAGTTCATAGAAACGTGTCAACCAACAGAGGTTTTTATATTATTTCTACTGAGGTGGATTTTCCTTTACTTTGTTTGGTTGTTTTAGCGTTGCAGGCAATGTCAAATAATATCAAGTAAGATGATATTAACTTTGGTATTATTGGATTTACAGAATTTGTGCAATGTGATGTTTTTCAGGTATCTTTTATTCTGCATTAGCCTTCTCAGGCTTTTACATTTACAAAAACCTTACTATATCACAATATACAGTATATTGATATCACAACATATATCATATCATATGGCTAGAATCAAGACTTGAAATGATAATACTGTTTGCATCCTGGTTTATTTAACAGGGATAGTCATATTAATAAACGTTATTTTAATTGCTACAGTTAGCCAAAAGGTTAATATAATTTATTATAAATATATCAGCACATGTACTTTTTAAAACATGCAACACAAAACACACAATACACAACATGCAAAGCAATATTGAGCAGTTGTTATAACCCAAACCGAATTAGAATTGTAACTCTGTTAAAACATCATTATGTTCACAATAGGAGTGATGCATGACGGTTATTTTCTAGTATTGATTCAAGGACTGTGGAAAGAGGGTGAGACCAAGCTCTACCATGGCTTTTTCACAACACCTTTGAGCCTCAGAACAGAAACAGCACTTGGCACATGCACATCCAACCACAGCCACCACTTGTCCGTGACCCTCTTCTCTGCCTGCAGGCTCCGTTACTTAAAGCCTCAATATTCTTTCTACAGTTTTCAAGGACATAATGCACCTTGTCAACTATACTCTGAAAGGAAGGAAATGTTCCGGTGCATTCAGTGTCCTTCTGTTTATCCACTTCACATTAAAAAGTTGTGAAAAGCTCCTTGATGTAAACATTTCTAGACACATTTCAGTACTGACTCCCTCTGAAAAGAGCGGGTCAACACTTTAATGTGCAAGTTTGTAAAGTTTGATGTAGGATTGTAGGTTTCTGCTTGCACTCTAGTTTTCCATTTACTGTAATCTTTCCTTGTGAATAGAGTATCTCTTCCTCTCTCTCTGTAGTGCTACAGTATTTATTGATAGAACACCACATTCTCTACAGTAGCTTCTTTATAGCAACCAAGTCTGTACATTCATCTTATTGTAGAGGTCAGTGTCTGTTTTTCTAATAGAATCTTCTCTCTTTTTCTCTTCACCCTTCCCAATCCCATCCTTGTTGCACTTATGTTATCTTTTTCTTCCTCCCTCGTTGACGTCCTTCATTTTAACTCAATAACATTATTTTTTCCTCTTCATTCCTCCCTGCATCCCGTTTTGACTCCACTGTCTGATTCACCACACCACGCTTCTTTTTATGTTTTAATTTTGTTCATTATAATTTGTGTGCATGCATGCGGGTTTTCTGACTGACGTGCAGACCCCATAGACCCCGATATTGACATCTACGACCATATCCATGCTTCATACACCCCAGTACCAGACCCCTCTCCCATGATGCCTCCTGTGGGCGTTCAGGCCTCCGTGCTGAGCCACGACACCATCAAGGTGACCTGGGCCGACAACTCGCTTCCCAAGAACCAAAAGATCACAGATAACCGCTTCTACACAGTGCGCTGGAAGACCAACATCCCTGCCAACACTAAAGTGAAGGTAAGAGGTTCTTGTTCGATACTAACTTCCTGATTGTATGTGTGTTTGTTCAATTCAGGAAATACTATTATTGGATTTAAAAGCCCATGTTCTGAAGTCTTTACTGTTAATTTCATTGTAGATGAGTTCTCCAAGAAAAGAAGCGCCAGTGTTATTTTTAAGCTCTCTTCTTTTCTGGTTTAGCTCAGCATTTTCACGCTCAAGTAACTTATTTACAAGTTGGTGTAATTCAGTACAAATCAAATCAGTTCAGCCTGATCAAACTTTGGTAATACGCCTTCATTTTATACAGTTAGATTTCTGTTTACTTCGGTGCATGGGGACTTTATGCATCTCTTCACGCCCACACTTACCAGAGAGATATATTGATGTGCTGAAAATAAAAAGTAATGTCATCCAATGATCTATTCCCACAGCAGCTCCAAAGCACAGTGGCAGCATAATGCAGACATTTGTAACCAAGCAATAATCTTATTTTCAAGGCACTATAAAGAGAAGTTGCTCTGTACTTGAACTAAGAAATTCTTCCTCAAAATTTAGTGCTACATTAGTCTTCCTCGCAACATTGTTTTAAGTTGAGTAAGAGATGGTTCACAGGGGGGTCAGGTCTACATAACCAAATCAAATACTTGGCTCTGCATTCCTGTTAAAGGTTGTCTGATTGTACAGCTCAGAGGCTAGCTCAGCTCATTGCTATCTGTAGCTGTGGATATAGTGGTTTCATTAAACCTATAATGGCCTCACTAAAGTTAAAGCTTCTTTTTCAATGATGGTACAGTAGCAGGTCTAGATGAGTTTAATTTTTTATTAAATTTATAGTCCTTAAATTTCCATCCTGGTTGATTTGGCAACATCTATAGTAACAGTGGTAACAGCCAGTGCAGTTTAATACCACAGCACCGGTAACACTGGTTGCTCTTCACTCTTAACTGCTAAAACAATTAAATAAACACATTTTTAAACATATAATATGTAACATTTCCTTGATTTTGTCTAAAAAACAACTAGACCTATGTTTTTCATTGTGTTGAGATGTGCACTTACATTATCCAGAATGTTTCCAATAACATTTAAAACCTGAGAAATACATTTATTCAGTTAACGTTCCGTTTCTTACTTTCCCCTAGCTGCAGAAATAGCATATTATACAATAAATAGAAATACAAACTACAACAGAAAAGCAGCTAATGTATGTGTTTACCGTGCAGCCAAACAAACTCACGCTGTTTCAGTTAAGAACTCAAGTATTCAATTATGCCTTTGCATAAGTAGGCAATTTGAATCCAGCAATGGGAATGGCGGACCCCAACACTAACTATAAAAACTGCTACGTAGAGAGAAAATTGCTTAATTTAAATACACAGAATGGCTATTGCAAAGAAAATCATAACTAGTATCCAAAACTTTGAAGAATCTTACTTTAATAGTCTTTATAAATTGATCAATAGTTTAGTCTACAATGTTCCCGCAGCCCAAATCTTTACATTTGAGCAATTAAAACTGGTAAATTTGTGCTTGATAAATGAAATGATGATGATAAATTGATGGATCATGAAGCTCTAGAGTCCATGGTCAATGAAACAATCAAGTGCAGCACTGGAGTATTACACAAATTTTGTGTGTTCAGTGTCATACAGATGCAGAGTGCATACAGAGTGAAGTCATGCGCATGAGTGTAATGTATTATATGATTTATGAGTCACAGTGAGCTGAACCTGAAACAAGGTGTTTGAGATTCAGCTTCTGATTCTTGGCCTGCAGCTCAATTATAATGATTACTTATCTCTGCATACTGGATCACAGTGGATGTGTGTGTGTGTGTGTGTGTGTGTGTGTGTGTTCATGGTTGTATGCATGTGTGCAAACCTGTGACTGGGCAGAGCTCAGATAAAGGCCTGCGTTTACTGATAAATTATTCAACAAGGACAAGACAAACTAGGAAGTAGAAGAAGATGGTGTAGATCTGACGGTGCATTCTCCATACAGCCAACTCAGACGAACGACACACACACACACACACACACAGAGCTGAGTCTTGCTGCCATGAGTGGATGCTCAAATTGGTTTGATTCTCACACTGTGACAGTAATTAAGGAGTTCCACAGGCTCATTATGCTTCTGTCCTATTAACCAAATTCAATATATTAACAAGTCTATTAGAAAGGTCTTTTCTAATGTTTCTTATCAATGCAGTGTAGATCACATCTTGTACATCCTATATACTGCAAGTACAGCTGTACTAGAGACCCGTCTAACCAACAGCGATGGCTTCACCTTAATGCTACTCTTCTTCATGTGCTCTCTTCTTTTAGAGCGAGTCTAGCCAGACAAGCTTGTACATTATTGAAGAGACCACTGCTGTCAAACTGGCAGCATGTTTCTAAAGCAGAGAGTGTTTTCTTTTCCTATCCCAGTGCCCTCTGTTTGACAGCCCCCACCAGAGAACTGCACTTTTGTCATAGCACGCAATGTTATAGATAGGGCTGTTAGAGACCTGGCGACCTGACTCGCTGCTGCTACGACCCCCAGCAAGCTAAAGCTGAGCCTCCTTTCTCTCCTGTCAGCTCAGGCCAGCAAAGATCAAGATAAATGGTTACATAACTCAAGCTTTTTAAAGTCTGAAATGCCATAGAAATGTGAAACGCACCCGTGTTTATATGGTTTTATAGCTCATTCGTAATGGCTACACTTTGTGTGGCACGATGTTTCACACCAAACATGACTGAGTATCACAAATGTAAAAGGTTCTGATTCCACTCATAAACTCTGTTCAGCATGTTAGACTAGTGATTGTTTAGAAACATTTGATTGATTAGTTGATTGACATTCACTTGTTCTGTCACCTTGAAAGTTTAGGAATTGGGGATTGGGATTTGTTTTGCCATTTTATACTCAAGAATACTGAATTCTTGTTTGTATGTGTTTGTGTGTCTGTGTGTGTTCTCTCTTGTTTGTCTGTCTCTCCCCAGATGGCCAACACCACTAGCCTGAACCACATGGTGACGGGATTGAAGCCCAACACACTGTATGAGTTCTCCGTCATGGTGACCAAAGGCCGCCGCCTGAGCACGTGGAGCATGACTGCACAGGGCACCACCTTTGAGACCAGTAGGAACACACACATACGCGCACGCACACACACACACACACACACACACACACACAATAGCTGTGCAGAAACACAACATAAGCCAACTTGTCCAGTGTAACAACTCCCTGGCTGTGAGTAACATTTCACTTTTTGCAGCCTGAATTGAAGGAGAGGACACTCCTGAGGAAATTCAAGCTGACACTAGACAGTATAACATAATCCAAATAATAAGACAGGTATTTATCAGTAGACCTTCAATTAACTGCAAGTGAAATTGAGGAAACCTGCCGCAAATTTCGTGATTGCAGAATATAATTCTGGTTGGACTAACCCTGCTTTCATACAAAAAAATATATACATAATAATAAAAATAATAATAATAATAATAA